CGGGCTGGGACCGCCCCCGGAAACGTGTAAGGCAGCTGCGATGACGGCGCACGGGATAGGAAGGGGCTGGGATGGCACATAGGGGAGGGGCTGGGAGGGCGGCCTGATGCAGTGTGCGAAGCTGGAACTGCTCACGGGGTGTGAGGATTAGAAAACCAATTTAGGAACACAGCTGGGTTTTTATTAGCCTCCTGGACCTGTTTTAAAAGTTTGTTATAGTTAGTATGCTTGTCCTGCTCTGGCACAGCTATAGGCCCATGTCGATGTCCGCTCCCGGCCGGCAGGAAGGACACACGACAAAGTCTGGCAGTGGACAACCTTTTCTTTTTATTTTCCTTCTCCGTACAGCCTGCCCTGGGATCGCTCCCAGCCGAAGCCTCCTCTGGTCCGCTCCCCGCGGCTCCTTCCGGGCTTCGCTCCGAAGCCTCTACCGGTCCGCTCTCCGCGGCTCCTTCTGGGCTTCTACTTCCGGGCTTCTTCTTCCCCCCCAGGGGTGGCACCAGTATATATACGGATACAGTGTCCAATCATGTTAAAGTAAGCAAGGCAAGCTGATTGGCTAACATCATCAGTTGCCAGGCAGACTATATTGTTGAGCGGGTTGCTTACGCGGTAAACAGGAAACTAACGTGCTCGATGGGAGGGGTAATCTACCTCAGGCTTTGCTCTTTACTACAGGCCTCACGTCCGCCAAGTGAGGCGACCGGGCTCGGGGCTGCGGCTCCCAACAGGCCCAGGGTCATTATCAGCGGTATTTACCTTATGTCTGTGATCAGCTTCTTCACGAGCTGCTTGCCACAGCTGATTTCGCTCTTGTGAGCTGAGAGTGATATTTAGAATCACATAAAATGTAAATCATAACAATTAGTAATAAATTCAAATTGCCTGATATAATTCTGTGGGTTAACAGAGAAGCTACCTAATTTATGGGTAATCTGAGATAGATCAGAAAGGGAAAAAGGCACATGGGTGTTAACAAGTCCCTCGGGGCCAACTTGCTCCCGAAGTGGTAGCAGAGCCTGAGGAGAAGATTCCAGAGCAGAGGGCCATTGGGCAGCCATCTGTCTGGTAGACACGTGTGAGCAATTGTCTGTAGAGCGGCTACAGAGCTGCTGCTGGTCACCCTGGGAAACACAGGCAGATGGCGTCTCGCTGTGTGCCTTACAGGGAGAGGATTGCTGTCAGCAGCACAATGAAGCGTTATGTGCACTGCAACAGGGTGGCTGTTGCAGTTCAAAAGAGGAGCCACAAGGGGGTGCCAATTGACAGTGAGGGTCCTGGGAACACGGCAGTGCCCTGTCACGTGGCCCCAAACGTGGTAGCACCCTGTCACGTGGCCCCAAACATGGCGACCATTCTGGGCATAAGCTGGAACAATCACGTGGCCTGCTGGAAGGACATAGCGACTGAGACCTAGTATGGTGGGCAGGCGGTGAGAATGCTGTAGGGGATAGAGAATTCTCAGGAGAAAAAGTCAGAGACTGCGAGGAAGCGCTAACAGAGGGATTAGAGCCGCTGGGAGAGTTATGGGTTCCAGGAGACAGAGGGGAAGATGATCCCACAGTAGGAGATAACAGTGAGGAACCATTTTGGGGGTAGGGAGGCGGTGGCTGGGAAAACACCGGAGGGCAAGACGGAAAAGTTTGCGGCATGGTAGAGTTAGCTAAAAGTATCTGAGCGGGAGCACAAGACTTAATGAGAGATGGGCGTGTTCTCAGAATAAGAAAGGCCTGAATATAAGGGAGTTCTAATAACTTGTTGCTGGCCTGACAGAAATCATACAAGTTTCTGAGAATGCAGGGGTCAAATGTTCCTTCCTTGGAAACAATCGGCCAGTGATTGCCGATAAGCGGGTAGGTTGGCCAGACCTCCTGGCAGTAAAAAGTTAATTGTTTAGTTTTTATGGTATTTTTAATTTTTAGAGTATGTAAATTGGAAATTAGGCATTGTAAAGGCGTCTTTGGGGAGTTAGAAAATATATTTCCCATGACTGATTCAGGCAAGAAATAAGCCGTGGTCCAGAACAAGCCGTCACTTATTTGTGGCACCACATGGTGGCTAAGGTTCCAAAAACTTGTATATTCTAGTCGTCACTGAGAGATTTACAAGTGGAGCCCACATGGGGTCAGTAACAGTTTTGCCCATGAAAGCTCGAGGCCTTAAGGGAAGTGAGGTGGTCCTTTCAGTGTGGGTGGTCCAAAAATCTCTGCTTTGGGCTATCCGAATCCAAAGAACGTGAGAGATTTTAGAGTGTGGCACAAGTTCACCCAGAAAGAACCCTGCCCTGGGCTGTCCTAAGGATGTGAAAATGCACAGACCCATGTGAATGGGGAGAACAGTTGACTGGGGCTGCCCAGTGCCAAAAGTTCCCTGGGGAGTGCTCACCTGAAATCAATCTGGCTGATGCTGAGTGCAGGCAGCTGTTGACAAGGACATCTTGGGAGAGGAAAAAGCTTGGAATTAATCCAGGATGTTATCTGGTTATTAGCTAGGGGACTCAACTGGGTGTGTCCCAGGAATCATTTGCCTGTGGGAAGATGGCGTCACAGGTAAATTCCTAGGGATGGGGGACATAGGGCTTCCTGCTTCCCGTTGAGGCTTTCCTGGCTACAGTGTCCTGTCTGGGCCAAAACCCTTTCACAGAACTCCTCTGTGAGGCCCATATAGGTTTTTAAACAAGGGAAGGGCTGGAGTGGAGAGCGTGGGAACTGAGCAGGACCTCGGGAGTCGGTTCAAAGACGTCACCAGATAGTAAAGTGTGCTAGTGAGGACAACTATCTCGTCTCCAAGTTGATATTTGCCACAGGAGCGAGACACCTGCAGCTGCAGTCTCTATCTGGTTAGTCAGGGTGGGAGCCAAGCATCCTCAGCTGTGGCCCTATCTTGTCCTTTGAGGCATCTCTGGCATCACAGGCCACTACAGGACTCAGTGGGGACCAGTGACCCATAGAGGTTCACTCACTCTGAATCCACTGCCCGTCTGCAGACAAAGGACTTAGGCTTGGGATAGACTCACAGGTAAACACGGAAAGCCAACTGGTTAATTAAAATCCTGCTCAGAGCCTCACCATAGAGGTTTCTGGCATACACGCACCCTGTGTCATTTATTCATGCACTAGTGATTCATTTTTTATTTTTATTTTTTATTTTTTTGAGACAGGGTCTCACCCTGTGGTGCAGGCTGGCTTCGAGCTCAGTGCCCAAGCCTCCCGAGCCCCGGGACTATAGGTGTGCACCGTGTGCCCCCTCATTAACTTAAAAGGCTCCATCCTGCTCAAAGGTGCGTAAGTACCCAGGCCCTGGGCCACATCTGCCTTAGTTTCAATCAAGCTCTGTCCATCCTGGCCGTGTGACTTTGGACAGGTCAGTTGGGCTCTCTGTGACTCAGTTTCCTTACTTACAAATGTTGCCGTGGTTCTGTGTGGGGGCTGTAGTGAGCACAGTGGGAATCTCAGGGTGGCCTGGGTCAGCCAGCTCTGTCAGCCGCGCTCGGGTGGTAGGTGGGGTGCCTGGGATTCCACTTGGGTTATGAGGGTGCTAAGCTGGTCATCAGATGAATTCATCCATCGGTACACAGCTGAACTCACTGCTGGAAGGCAGGAGAGGTGGCTTAACCAAGCCCTCCCATCCTGCCCCTCTGCCTGGGGACCAGCCCACCACAGACTGAATCCTCTGAACCTGTGAGCCCAGTGAACATCTCGAAGGTGCAGGCATTGGATATTTTGTACAACAGTGAAAAAGTGCTTTCCCGTCTTGCAGGGTTATAAACAGTGTGGGTTATAAATAACGCGTTCACACGCACAGATCCCTGGCTGATTCCCCAGAATAACGTCTCGGAGATGAGGGTGGCTGCCGAGGCAGCGGTTAAACACAGCTTTATCTTCTGAGGACACTGTGTGCTTCCGTGTCCGTGAAACTGTCCTTAAGGCCGGCTCAGTGGCTTCCTTCAGTTTATTGATGGTGGCTGCAGGGAGGTTTACATTCGGGGCTGCGAGGCCTTTCCATTGGACAGCAGTGCTCTGCAGAGAAGGGGAGCATCTGTTTCAGGGTCAGGAAGGTAAAAGGGGAAGAAAGGGGCTGGGAAAAGAAAGGAAGAGGTGTATACACACACACACACACACACACACACACACACACACACAAGGCTGGTCCCATGGCAACCATGCAATCAACTCTCTTGTGGAAAAACAAACAACTTGGGGGGGGGCAAGAGGGGTTTCTGTTCTGCTTGTTCATTGATTATTCAGTTAATACTTGCAGAATGGTAAGCTTTCAGTAAACACTTTGGTGGAGTTGGGGTTGTTGGGTTCAGTGGTGGGAGGGACTGAATCATGGTCTTCACTATAAGCCAGCCTATTTTCTTCTTTTGTTTTTAGTTTAGTAGATATTTATTCCTTTACTTGCACAACCTCTACATACAATCAAAATGTATGGGCCCTTTTTCATTTTATTGAAAGTGCAGGTGTCAAGGTTTTATGTCTGTTAACAGATATTTTCTGGAAATTGACTGACTTTTTTGTCTTTTTGAGACAAACTCACGCTTTACAGTTCAGACTGGTCTTGAACTTGCAAGTATCCTCCTGTCTCAGCCTCCCCAGTACTGAGATTACAGGTGTGTGCCATCACATCCGGTTTAATTGACACTTCTTTTTTTTTTTTTTTTTTTTTTTTTTTTTTGGTGGTACTGGGATTGAACTCACAACCAAGTGCTCAGAACCTCATGCTTGCAAGGCAGGAGCTTAGGCTGCTGAGCTAAATCCCCACCCCCAATTGACACTTTTGAAGCCCCTAGAGAAAAAAAAATAAGTACAGAGAAAACATCAATTTATATTTGGAAGTTAAACCCCATATTCTCTTCTTTTGTTTTTGGAACTGGGAATTGAACTCAGGGCCTTGCGCTTGCTGGGCAGGGGCTGTGCCCCTGCGCTATTATTGCGACCCCACCCCATTCTATTTTTAAATCAGCAAACCTAGAGTTTGAGAAAGTCAAAGGGTTCTCTCTTTCGTCTCGGCCGCCGACATGCCATCCAGACTCAGGAAGACCCGGAAGCTTCGGGGCCATGTGAGCCACGGCCATGGCCACATCGGCAAGCACCGGAAGCACCCGGGAGGTCGGGGTAACGCTGGAGGCATGCATCACCACAGGATCAACTTCGACAAATATCACCCAGGTTACTTTGGGAAGGTTGGTATGAGGCATTACCACTTAAAGAGAAACCAGAGCTTCTGCCCAACTGTCAACCTTGATAAATTGTGGACATCGGTCAGTGAGCAGACACGAGTAAATGCTGCCAAAAACAAGACTGGAGTAGCTCCCATCATTGATGTAGTACGATCAGGCTACTACAAAGTTCTTGGGAAGGGAAAGCTCCCAAAGCAACCTGTCATCGTGAAGGCCAAATTCTTCAGCAGAAGAGCTGAGGAGAAGATTAAGGGTGTTGGGGGGGCCTGTGTCCTGGTGGCTTGAAGCCACAGGACAAGGGGGCTCATTAAAATGCTAACACATGGCTTTCAAAAAAAAAAAAGAAAGAAAGTCAAAGGGTAATTTCTTCTATATTTCTTCCATACTCGAATTTCATCTGGAAGGTGGTTCCTGCCTCCTGGGAGACACACCAGAACTGAAATGTGGTCTTTGAGGAACAGCAAACTTTTCAAAAGTACAGCTGTTTGACCAGAGATGAGAAAACAAACTTGCGGTGACACCAAGTGACTTAATGATCTTACGGGAGCAGATCAGTCGAGTTGACCCAAGGCAGCTTGCTGGACCACCTAAAGCTTACCTTTAAATGGCCAATGCTTTCCCCCTGGTGGCTCCAGGGTTGAAAGCATCCTCAGGTATTTCCTGAGTGGCCATGTGACTTCCTAGCTTACCACTCTTGGCTTCAGCACTAGTTTACAAACCCGGAGGTAAATCTATTTACCTGACATTCCTTCTGTAGCCATCAGCTTCCAAACAGCAGGGTGAACCTGAGTGCTGACCACCCACCGGGCAGCAAATCCAGAATTCCATGGGGCCCGCACAGCTGGACCAGGTGTTTGGACACTTTTTTTTTTCTTTTTTCTGGTACCAGGATCGAACTCACGACCACCTGCCTGCAAGGCAAGCGCTTATGCCACTGAGCTAAACCCCCAGCCCCTATTTGGACACTTTTAATGTGCACCTACTCGGTACCGTGCAGTCTTAGGCAGTTTTGTTTAGGGTAAGCTAAAGTTGCTTCATTTCCAAATAAACCGCTTGCAACAGATTTATTCTGTGACACTTCCTTTTTGGGGCAGGATTTAAAATTTTATCAGTTAGGGCTGGGGATTTAGCTCAGCAGCATAACGCCTGCCTTGCAAGCGTGTGGTTCTGAGTTCGATCTTCAGCAATGATTAAAAAGAAAAGAAAAGAAAAGAAAATGTTATCGGTACATTTTAGGTGTACATAAACGATCACGTTCATCATGGAGAGCTTGCACTATTGCCTGATATATCTTGTGTCTTTTTTCCCATTCCCCTCCCCTCCTCTCAAGCCCTCCAGCCTGTTTCTTTACAAAAGCTTTGCTTCCTTCTTTCCTTCCCTTCTTTTTTTCTGGTCCCTTACTTCCTTTCCCCCACCCCTCCCTTGTACCTCTTCTCATTTGAGCATTTTCCAATTCTATTATACATTTCAGTCCTTACAATTTCAGCTTCTTACACCAGAGAAACAATGTGGCATTTAAATATATGTGTCCAATTTATTTCACTTAAGAGTATGGTCTCAGGGTGCAGCCATCTAGCTAGAAATGGCTCAAGCTTATCTTTCTGGAATATATATATATATATATATATATATATATATATATATATTTTTTTTTTTTTTTAGCACATTCATTGGTTGAAAAGCATTTGGCTGTTACAAGCTGTGGCTCTGTAAACGTGGATGCACATATATCACTGGGGTATGATGCTTTTAGTTCTTTTGGGAAGATACCCAGAAAGGAAATAGCTGGGTTGATGGAACCACTAGTTTTATTTTTTGAGGAATCTTTACACTGATTTCCACAGTGGTTGCACCAGTCCACACTCCCACCAACAGAGGAGAAGGCTTCTTTTGTTTTTCCCCAAGAATGCAACTTTTTTTTTTTTTTGAGGCAGGGTCTCGCTGTGCACCTCAGGGTAGGCTTGAACTCAGTATGTCGCCCCAGCTGGCCTTGAACCTGAAGTGATCCTGCTGCCTCTGCCTCCTGAGTGCTGGAATTGCAGGTGTGCACCACCACGCCTGGCTCAACCCTGTCCCAACAAACAGCAAACAAATGCGGGCTTTGGATGCAGCTCAGTGTGACGGCCTGCGTTCAAGCCCTCTTGCCCACCAAACATACCTACCGGTAGTGCCCTCCCACTAGGACACCTGCTGACGCCAGCTCCAGCTTGCTGCCTTGCTATATGGAGACCGTGACCAGCAAAGATTTTTGGGAGGAATCCGGTAGGTTTTCGCAGGCGCAGGCCCAAGGAAGCGAGCAGTCACCCACACCCTGCAGAGGGTCTGCAGCGTGGTGCAGGCTCAGACTCCCCAGCTGGCGGCGGTTCCCACCTCCCAAGCCCACCAGTTGCGCTGGGTGCTACCTCTTGCACCTGGCCGCAGTGTCAGGACCTTCAGGAAGGGACGCAGGGCGGGAGCAGCCTGGCCTGCAGAGAGCTGACTCCTTAGCCCTGGCGAATTTCCAGACTGCCCGGGCCAAGGGCCGGGAAAGACGCTGAGCCCAGCCCGCCAGGGCCACTAGAGCGGAGCTGGGAGCTGGGCCGAACTCCCCACCCCAGGGCGCCTCCAGGTTGGGTCGCTTAGGCTCCTCCCGCCGGGATCAGGGTGGGGAGGCAGCGCTGGGCCATGAGCCTCCTTGCGGGAGCGGTGGGGGGCGCCGCTGGTCGCTGGCGACCCCAGAGCTTGGAGGTGGCGCCATCGAGGCTGAGGCCATCCCGCTGCCAACCACCTGTCTCTGTGCGGGTCCAACTGAACGTCACGGGGAACGAGGGAGTGTGCAGGGGTGGGGGTGGGGGTGGTGGATACTGGCCACCCACGCTGCTGTCCTCAGAGAGATTGCAGACAAATGGGGGATCAGGAGGGTCCTGTGTGTGGCCGTGGGCAGGACACGCGGGTCCCAAAGCAGATGCGACCTCTGCTGGATGGAGGTCCATGCAGGTGTCTGGGACACAGCTAGGCCTCCTGCTTCTGCCAAGGAGCCCCAGGCCCAAGGTGTGGGCAGGAGGTGGCTGGGCAGGCTGACTTTGAGGTGAAGCAGCCTGGAGTCATTTGAGAGGCCATAGGGGTGGCAGGAAAAGAGCCAGAAACAGCAGGGTGACCCAGAAGGGCAGGAAGAGGGGTCAAGGAGGACTATAGGAGGCACCCGGAGTACCCACATGGGATAGGGCACAGTGGATTTGATGCCCTGGGCCACACAAAGGGCTCACTGAGGAGGATGCGGGTGATGTCCCTGAGAGTCCTTGGCTGAGATCTTGGCGGGGAGCAGGGCTTTCACCAAAGCGATGGAGGATGGGCGTGAAGCACAGGACTCTAGGGGTTTGCTAACCTGTGAAGCACAGTCCCTCCCTGTTGGGAGCCGTGGAAGCTGGAAATTGACCTAGAGCTTGAGCTTACCAGACATGAGCTTACCAGAAAACTGTTGTAGCCTAGTTTTAACTCTTGTGCCTCATTTCTGTTCTGTAAGCGCCGCTCAGCACCCCCCTTCCCTTCCTATCTTTCTAGGTTAAGTTTCAATTTCCTTAGAAAGCTGTAAAAGCCTTAGGTATCAGTTTCCTGTAACCCCCTCCCCTACCTCTCATCCGGCTATCTGTAATAAAATGTGCTGGTCTTTGAGAAATGCTTAACTTCAGAGAAATTACAGGAAGTTTTGTAAGGCCCAACTGCTATCTAGCTGTGTCAACAGTTACAACATTTCTGTAGTTTTTAACTTTAAAAGCCCTGACTTTTAGCTATGAGGCACAGCAGTCTCCAAATTGGCTCCTGGAGACTGTGACACCAGGCCTGGCCTAAAATAAAGCCTTTGCTCCCCAAATTTTAATTTCTTGCTTCCTTGGGTTTTATTCCAGGGTCCGAGCTATCACAAAAACAAAGAGCTCAGGGTCAGCCACCTGAAGAAGGTGCTACAGCCCAGGAAAACCCCAAGCTCCTAGACAATCCAAGTAGTGGGTTGCTAGGCAGAGGGGCTGAAATTGAGGTCATCCTTCGCAGTATACAAGCAAACCCGCTGCTGGGTTGAGCAGTATCTTTCCTCATCTCAGGAGAGTAAGGGCTCCCCCTGACCCCAGCTTTGTCTTTTTATTTTTCTCATCCTTTCACGGTCCTTCACCCCAAGAACCTCAGGAGCCGCATGGGTTGCAACACCTCCCGAGCCAAGCAGAGGAGACACTGTCGCCAAAACAGGCCGCCTGCGTCCAGTGGGCTGGCTGTCTCCTCAGCGTCTACCTAAGTGATATCGGGGAAAGTGAGGCAGGCTTGAAATGAGCGCACAGAGGCAAGGGCTGCAGCCGGCCGCCTGCGGACTTTCTGGAATCGCGCCCCTGCCCAGGCTTTTACCCCACAAGGCTTTCATCCGGCTCATCTCCTGGCTCAGAAGGAGACCGGGTGCCCCTGGCTCTTGGAGAGGGAGTCACCAGGTGCTACAGAGGGGCTTTAAGTCAGGGTTCCGAGGGTAGAAACCTCATCCTCACCCCACCCCCTTTTTGTAATGACAAGCACATAGGACACCCCACCCTCATCCCGGTACCCGGAGATTCCTGGCTGGCTACCCAAGGGCTGCAGCCCACCAGAAAACCGCCAGGGGGAGCTCCAGGACCGGGTTCTAAACTCAGCGGGCGCGGGCGCTTCCCTGTCTGGTTCCCCGGGTGCTGTTCAGGTTTAAAACTCCAAACTCGGGCAGCGGAAGCCGCTTTCCCGCTGGGCAGCGGTCCTTGGACCAGGTCCTGAGTCTGGCTGTACCAGCGTCTCCTGGGAACCAATACCTAATCTTGGGCCCTCGCACACCTACCTAACCGTTTCAAGAGTGGGCTGCGGGTCACTGTAAGGCTCACTAGGGTGACAGCAGCTGCCCCGGTGCCTGAGTCTCCCAGGAGCCCTTGGATCTGATCCCCAGCTCCGGCTGCACATGAGAACTCTGTGCGTGTGTGCTGGATTCATCTGAATTTGTTTTCCTCTTTGGGGACAGTGAGGGTGAGGTGACTTGAGTGTCAGCACATGCGGGTGGATGTGTAATCTGTGTTATGGGTTGAATCTAAAATGAGCCCTGAAAGTCTCATGTGTTTTGAGAGCAATTGGATCTCAAGTCATCAGAGAATCCATCCACTGGTGAGTTCAGGGCTGTGTGTGCTGCTGGGTCGGGGCTGACTGGACTTGGGTCACATGGGTGGGACCGGAAGTGTGTGTCTAGTCATGACTCCTCCCATAGCGTTCCCTGCTTCCTGGCCACCAAGACTCGAGCGGTTTCCTCAACCAGGTTTTTCCGTGTGGCTTCTACCTTGGAGTCAGATGACCATGGACCAAATCCTCTGAAACCGTGA